TCACATAGAATATGAACAAATTGTTATCTCTACTCTATATAATGTATTAAGAGTGCAGAGAGAAAAGTCATAAGACTCAGCTTCTTCTTCTCTAGATATTATCCTGTTGATTCTGTTCCTTCCTCTCTTTCATAGTCCTCTGTTTTAACAGTTTTCAGAAAGTCAATTTCTATTATCTTAAAGACATTTTATAACAGCTCGAGAAACAGAGGACTAAAGAAGAGCATAAAGGAAAGGTTTTTTTCTTCAAATCATTATACCTTTTTCTCAATTACTCTGCTCTGTTCTAATAATTTATTTTGTTCTTCTAATTATTCGTTCGTGTAAACACAAAATCATTTCCGAGTATAGTTTTTTCTTTCTCTTTCCTTGTTCTTGAGTGTAACGAAACAGAGCAATTTTTTTATAAAAAAAAAAACAGAACATAATTTTTTATAGGATTTGTTTTTGATCTTTAATGGCGTCTTTAGAAATGGTTTCGACACAAGTGTTCGATTGTGTCTCGAGGAATCGTAACAGGAAGAAAAAGGATCTCAAAGTTTTAGTTAGAGATCCATTAAACAAGTTCCGTGAGCTTCTTGTGGATGATTCTGGAAGTAACGAAGAAGGGAAGAGCAAAAGAGAGGTTCTTGAATGTTCTTCAAGATCCTCTGTTTCTGAGATAAAAGAATCTTTGCCGATTCCTTTTTCGACCAATTCCAATTCGTTTTATAATCGTGGTCAACCCGAGAACCCGTCAAGAAATGATGTCAACATGGGAGCTTCTTCTTTGGTTCAGATTTGGGAAGCTAGGTCGCAACAGTCAAGCTCGAGTAATTCGAGTCCCTTCTCTGAATCTCTCAATTACGAGGCGAAAAACAGTAATGATGATATAGATTGGTGTTTACAATCAGAAGCAAGAATTGTTCTTCCCTTGGTTGCTTCTTCTCCAAGGATAAGAGGACGACAAGTATTTGCAGATTTCTTGATAATGATTCTGCGTGAACGCAAAAAGGAACTCAAATGGCTCGCTACTTGCTACGCGGTTTCGAAGTTCTCGCCTCGTGGATGCGAGCGTCTTCGGGTACTATTTTCTTGGATCTTAAACTTGTAATATGATGCGTTACACTTTAGAAGAGGTTTAAATAGTTCGGATTACTACTTTTATATTTGTTGTTTCTGTAGTATATCCTTAGGACCAGATGTTTCGAGAAGTGCATCGCGATTCGAGAAAGATATCAGTCGAAATCAGCCAAACGGTATTCACGAGGGTCTGGTGTAATGAATCTCAGGTGATTATTCTTCTTCTTCAGGTTCCTTTTGCACCTCTTGAAGAGTTTTAAACCTAACTATATTGATTCATCAATGATTTCAATATGTAGGGATAGATACAGGACAAGTACCGGGAAGGAAAAAACAGAGAGAGTTGAGGAAACAATGGAGAAAAGTAATCCGCAGACGACTCAGGAGGCGACTTGTAAGCCGAAAATCGCCAAGATAGCTATATCGAGTGATGATAAAAGCAATAAAAATGTTTTAAAGAAACCTGGAATTGAGAAGAAAGTTACAGAAAAAGGAGAAAGTTCTAGAGAAACAGAAAAAGGAGCAAGAAGAGTCATTGATGTGGAGGAGATTGT